TTGGAAGATCGTTATTGCGAAGGTATTTTTTGAAGATTTTTCACAGGTAGGTAGCTAAGAGTCTCAATTACATGACTGCACAAACCGCACACAAAAATCTGTAAAATTAAAAAAAGTTCTTTGATAAATACCGAAGAGCTCGACAAAATTTTACATAATCGCCCCACTTCACTCTATCCTATTAAACGGCGAAAAGTTCATGAAAAATGATTGAGTAGTAAAAAAAGATATTGACATTTTACTTTTTCCGGGACTTTTGGGACACCCTGTATTTGATTATCATTGAGAATTTTAACTTTCATAACAACAGCTTGAGAGCCACGGTCGAGTATATCAATATAATGAAACATATTTAAATTGTCATCTCTGGTCCAGCCAAATGATTCTGGTGATGTTTTAAGAAACGTCCAAATAAGATCAAATATCGATTTATCATCAACCCCAATATCATATGAAACAAATTTTAAATCATTGTCCTTTTCAACTGAACATTTAACGACTACTGTATCATTGCATAAATAAATCGACGGTTATGTGTACATTTCATCAAAATATCTAAATATAAACATCCAAATTGAAAAGTACAAAAGTGGAACCTAAGAAGAAAAACTAGAAATTGAGGAAGTTTTCAGTTAACAGATAAATTTCGCAAATTATACATATTTGAAACAAGCCTATTCAAACCCAGTGAGGTTCCATTTAGAGTTTGATTTTAGTTCTCTTCAACACCGGTCTTTGCCTCAAAACTGAATTGAGTGGGTATATATGGGAGTAAGGATTTCGATCGTACATGAGATGAACACCTCGGGTGTGTGAAAAGAAAAATAGTAAAGTCTCTAATCGTGAAAAATTTACAAGACAGACAGATGCATGCGCAGTCAAATTTGATGAAGGCCATGATTCATCGGATGATATAAAAGAACAAAAAATTGAAAGGAGTTTCTGTCAGAACTCAAAACAATAACAACTGCACGGTCACACAGGCACGATACTCTGTGTCACTTGGGTCAAGTGAAAGTAGTAAATTACAAGAAGTAAACTCATTGAAAGAAAGAAATACACTCTAACTTTGAGTTTTTCTTTTTGTGTTAGATACAGTAATTTCCAGATATTTTGTTTCCGTTTACTGCTCTGATGCAGAGACCGGTTGGTCTTAAAACGTTAGCAAAATAAAAATAAAACTAGAATTAAATTTACGAGTAAAAAGTATGTGTTTTGTCTTGACAGATAACATTCTACTTTCATCCTAACTATCACAATAAGATGCGATTGAAGCTTACCTAAAGAAAAGTCTCACTTATTTGACGAAAGAAATTTAACTATTTCGAGAGAAATTAAAGGCTAGACTTCAATACCGTGATGAACTATCTCGAAAACTATTGGTTGTACTTAATTAATTGATTAGTTCAACATACCAACATGTTCCATTAGTTGTGCTACATCAATCTGATCTAATGCAAGATGAGCTTTTGTTCTTTTCTTTAATTCAATTATGCTAACAATATTGAACGGTAAATACTTTGATTCATCATGAACACCATCTGGAAAAATGGATACATCCGGTCGTTTTTTTTTTGAAATGTTGCAGAAAATATTGGAACCGAGCAACTTTGTGTATATTCAGTATTGTCTTTGGTGTCCTTCAACGTTCGAACTAATTTTTTTTCCGGTGTCTATTTCTCTTGCTGCTTCATCTTGTCGGATGTTTTCGATTTCTTGAATAAAATCTGCTGGTGCTTCACTAACATCAAATTCCAGAAACATTTGGCTGGACCAGAGATGACAATTTAAATATGTTTCATTATATTGATATACTCGACCGTGGCTCTCAAGCTGTTGTTATGAA